AAGGAGGAGGCTACAATGCTTGATAAGAAATGTACTCATTATCTTGCCCATGTAATTGTAACCCCTCTGTACAGTATTTTCACAATAAAAATTTTTTTAAAAAAGAAAAAGAAAATTCTTACCTACAACTAGCAAAAAGCCAGAAGTGAAGCTGTGACTCTAGTGGTAGAGTGCTAGCTTTGGGCCAGCACCTAGGCTCTGAGTTTAAGCCCCAGTATACTCTCTCTCTCTCTCTCTCTCTCTCTCTCTCTGTCTCTCTCTCTGTCTCTCTCTCTTACACACACACACACACACACACACACACACACACACACACAAGCAAGCTAAAGCTGGGTATGTCTGTCTTCATTTTATATCCATCCCCTTTACTACTTTTGGGTCAGATTCCTGTTTAATTCCACAACCAGAAATGTTGAACATTTAATTAAGGAGTATTCAGCTACATCTACAAGTCTCTCCCACTCTGAGGCCAGACATCAAAGTAAGAATACCAAAAATATTTCAAGATTTACAAACATATATCATCATCAACAGCCAGCTTCTACAACATCCCATTCCAGACCCCGAAAGAGCAGCACCTAGAAGCCTCCAGTCATTGCCCTAGACCTCAAAAAAAATACATTTGTCCCATCTTGCCCCAGAATTGGCAAAAAAAAAAAGGACAAATACAAAAAATGAATAATACAAGAAAAGAATCACTCTAGCTATTGTATGGCATACTACTCAGCTCTAAAAAAGGGTATATGGATACACAGAACAACATGGGCTAATTAAAACATAATGTGGCTGACCACTAGTGTCTTATACCACTAATCCTAGCTATTCAGGAGGCTGAGATCTGAGGACCAGAGTTCAAAGCCAGCCTGGGCAGGAAAATCTTTGAAACTCTTATCTTCAATTAACTACCAGAAAACCAGAATTACCGCTGTGGTTCAATATGGTAGAGCCACTAGCCTTAAGCAAAATTGCTCAAGGACAGCGTCCAGGCCCTAGGTTCAAGCACCATGACGACAAGTAAAAGAAAACAAAACAACAAAACAATGTATAGGAAGGAAGCCAGTTAGGAAAGAAGATGTCAGCAATAACTCCATTTACATGAAGTTCTAGAACAGAAAATACTAATCTGTGGTGACAGAAAGCAGAACTGTGGTTTCTGGGATAGGTAGCTATAAGGGAGATTGGAAAGAGGCATAAGAGACTTTATTGAGGTGATGGAAGGTTCTAGATCTGAGTTAGAAGTAGCCACAGAAATATGTTCACCTGTCAAAGTATTTGAAATGTACATATTTTAAGCCAGCTGACTCACGTCTACAATCCCAACTACTCAGGAGGCTGAAATCTGAGGAAAAGTCCGAGAGAGACTCCATCTCCAATGAACCAGCCAAAACTTAGGATGGCAAGATGACTCAAGGATAGAGCAAGTGAAAAAGCCAAGAGAGAGAAAGAAAGCATAAAGCTTTGAGTTCAAACCCCAGTACTAGCGCGCACACACACACACACACACACGCACACAAATGTGCATTTTATTGTGATAAAGATAAATTATACTTGAATAAAACTGACTCCAAGGCAACATAAGCAAGGGAAACATCCAAAAGTGTTTGGAAGCCTAGAGTAGTGGAGCATCTATTGTGCTTATGACTTGAGATGATCTTGCTTAAGTGGAGAACAGCAGATTCCAGTGGATTCCAGCTGGGCTAGAGACAACAGGCAGGCAGCAGGCTGGACCCGTGGAAGATCCGGTTGGAGAGGTTGGTGGCAGGCAGCCACTCAGCGGTGGCCTTCACAGCCAGGCTGGGTGTTTAGACTTCAAACAGTGATAATGAGGAATGAATGGAGGGTGTTGAGCTGGAGATGTAATATGTGGGAGGCTCCGCTGATAGCGGTGGACAAGAAAGCTTGAAAGAGGAAGGATTTGGAGGTGTGGCACCCTTCTGCTACTCTCACATCAGAGAAAAAAAAAAGAAAGAAAGAAAAAAAAAAAACCTCCAGCAATTTCACAAGCAACCTTCTCTAAGTTGCTGGAAACTGTCCCCAAAGTCCTGAGCTCTCTTCCCCCACCCCACCCCACCCCAAGCTGGCTCAGTTCCTCATCTAGCCCCAGTCTTTATAAAGCACCTCGGCCTTCACTGTTACCTTCAGTCAGGAAAAGGCTGAAGTCAAGGATGAAGGCTAGACTGCACTGTGTGGCTGTGGGCCTGATGCTATGGATGGGGAGCTCCAGGTTTGGAGAAGGGACTGCCAATCCTGGAATTGTGGTCCAGATCACTAGAAAAGGCCTGGAATATGGTAAGTCCATGGAACTGTTTTCTCCTGGTGTCGACATTCTATTGCAGGCTGAGGTTCTGACACTGCCCACACTTCGCATTTGTCACCTTTCCGGCTTCAATTTCCCCATCTTGGGTCTGGGAGAGGAGGTGGGGAGGAGTAGAAGTAGACCACCATTTTCTCTCACATTGATTTTTTTTTTGGGGGGGTCCGGTCATGGGTCCTGAACTCTGGGCCTGGGCGCTATCCCTCAGCTCTTCAGCTCAAGGCTGGCGCTCTACCACTTGAGCCACAGCGCCACTTCCAGCTTTTTTTCTTTTTGCATATGTGGTGCTGAGGAATCGAGCCCAGGGCCTCAGGCATGCAAGGCAAGCGCTCTACCACTGAGCCACCTTCCCAGGCATAAAATTCTTTTTTTTTTTTTCTTTTTGGGTCCAGTCGTGGGGCCTGAACTCTGGGCTTGGGCGCTGTCCCTCAGCTCTTCAGCTCAAGACTAGCGCTCTACCACTTGAGCCACAGCACCACTTCCGGCTGTTTTCATATGTGGTACTGAGGAATCGAACCCAGGGCCTCAGGCATGCAAGGCAAGCGCTCTACCACTGAGCCACCTTCCCAGCCCCATTCTCTCACATTGAAAGGGCTAGGGCCAGGCACTGGTGGCTCACACCTGTAATCCTAGCTACTTAGAAGGCTGAGATCTGAGGATCAAGATTCAAAGCCAGCCCTGGCAGGAAAGTCTGTGAAATTCTTATCTCCAATTAACTACCAGAAAAAGTGGTAGAGTGCTAGCCTTGAGCACTCTGGGATGGTGCCTAGGCCCTGAGTTCAAGCCCCATGACTGACAAAAAGAAAAAAGGAAAAAAAAAGAAGTGGGAAATATATTAATGTGGAAATTCTAGGGGATCCACCCAAGACTGACTGGAGCGGAATCTGCATTGAAGACATATGACCTAAGCAACGGTGCCAAAGCTGAAGGTTTGATACTCCTCTCCCCTCTACTGTGGCAGTAACCGAGTCCTCCAAGCCCTGCTATAGTTGATTCTTGCACAAGCCCTTGCTGCACTAGTAAGGAGCAATGATGGTCATTTGCCTGGTACTGTCAATCATGGACAGAATTTATTTATTTGCTTTTCTTTATGCTAGTACTGGGGTTTGAACTCAGGACCTGGACATTATCCCTTAGCTTTTCCACTCAAAGCTGGCATTCTGCCACTTGAGCCATTACCTCCTTTTCTTGTTGTTGTTTTTTTTAACTGTATTTTTTTTTGTCTTTTCTTTTTTGGTACTGGGGATTGAACCCAGGACGTTGCGCTTGCTAGGCAAGCGCTTTGCCACTGAGCTACATCCCAGCCCCCTTTTCTTGTTTTTGATGGTTACTTGGACACAAGAGGCTCACACAGAGGGTCAGGGAAGGTGGCTCAGTGGTAGAGCGCTTGCCTTGCATGGATGAGGCCCTGGGTTCAATTCCTAACCACCACATAAGCAGAAAAAGCCAGAAGTGGTGCTGTGGCTCAAGTGGTAGAGTGCTAGCTTTGAGCTGAAGAGCTGAGGGACAGCACCTATGCCCAGAGTTCAGACCCCACGACCACCACCACCACCAGTAACAACAACAAAAAAACACACAACAAAAGAGGCTCACACAGATGTTCCTGCCCAGATCTCAGCCTCCTGAGTAGCTATGATTACAGGTATGAGCCACTGATAATAATTTAATGCTTAGGATCAAGTTAGTGTCATTAGTACCATCTTGCTGATGGGGAAACCGAGGGTTGAGGAATTTAAGGGATTTACTTGGTATCGCCTCAACAGTAAGTGGAATTCAATCACAGTGACATGATTACAAAGCCCAGCTCCTCAAGCTGTCTGCCACATAACAGACTAATTGAAGATCCTTCCCTTGGCCCCCTCTGCTGCTCCAGCCCACCAGTATGCAATTGCCATCCTGAAGAAGGAGCTGTCTACCATCAAAGTGCCCAATCTCTCAGGACACTTCAGGATTCGTTGGGTTGGATCCGTCAGCTATGATTTTCACAGGTGAGGTCTCCTTTCTCTACTGCAAGAAGAGCAAAGGAGGAAGGGTGGGAACCAAGACTTACAGGGGAAGGAAGATCAACACAGACTCAGAAATGGAATAAAAAGAGAGAAGCCTCTGGGGTTGTATGGGAATTCAGTCAGCGAGAAACAGAGAAGCTGCATTTAGAGAGGTGAAATTGGGAATCTTTATTGGAGAGCCCACGTCTGCAGGTGGACTGCTGACTCAAAGACCTGCAGCCCAGGACAGAACTTGAACCAAGCTTTTAAAAACCAAAACCAGGGCTGGGAATGTGGCTCAGTGGTAGAGCGTTTGCCTTGCATGCCTGAGGCCCTGGGTTCGATTCCTCAGCACCACATAAGAAAAAAGCCAGAAGTGGCGTTGTGGCTCAAGTGGTAGAGCGCTACCCTTGAGCTGAAGAGCTGAGGGACAGCGCCCAGGCCCAAAGTGCAGGCCCCATGACTGGACCCAAAAAAAATAAAACAAAACAAACAAAACCACATGCTTTGGGGGGAGACCAAGTCTTAACAAAAGCAGAACTTTATATGGACATACTCAGATACAAGCTCAGGGGTCAGCTGAACTTTCCATATGAGGGGTACACCTCAAACTTTCCATACATGGAGATAATCAGAGGCAAACAAATCAGATCATTTAAGGGAAACTGAAGGCCAGCATTCTCTGTAACAAAGTTCTCCCAAGGCTGAACAACATGATATCTGCAATTCAATGAGTGGCCTCTCTCACCTCTAGGCTTTTCAGTGCTGGGTGGAAAGCTCCCTCCACCCAGCTAGGCACCAGGATGGAAGTAAGGACAAGGCATATTGCTTAGACCCAGTCTCCTTACTTCATTCCCCACTGGTTTTATGTACATGAAATCAAATCATTGATTTCTCACTGAGAGAGCTGCATCGGGCCCTTAGGAATATGAGCCTAACCAAGCTACTTTAACCAACACTTACAAAAGGCTCTTCTGTACTAGACCTGTTTCATTAGCACTAAACAACATATTTTTTCTAAGGCTGCCCGAATTCCCCTGTAATTTTTGCCTGGGCTGTTTCTACCTGTAATTTAAGGAGTCTCTCACAGTCAAAGTTGGTTCCATATGACTGATATCCATATAGCCAGGAGGTTTGGAGCTTAAACATAATCAGCAATCCTTTCCCAGATCAGGCTGAGTAAGGCTTACAAATCTATGTACTACAGAAAGAATGTCACACAAAAAAAAATCAGCTCCAGCAAATCCAAAGCAGCTTTTCTCTAGGAATCAGCCATGTATGATGAGGCCAGGCAGGGGTCCCATCTGTTTTTACCATGTGGGCAGGATGACAATGTAGAGTTCCATGCTATGAGGCAGTCTTTGAACTTTTTTTTTTTTTTTTCAGTCGTGGGGCTTGAACTCTGGGCCTGGGCGCTGTCCCTCAGCTCTTCAGCTCAAGGCGAGCGCTCTACCACTTGAGCTACAGCGCCACTTCCGGTTTTCCGGTGGTTTATTGGAGATAGGAGTCTCATGGTCTCTCCTGCCTGGGCTGGCTTTGAACCGTGATCCTCAGATCTCAGCCTCCTGAGTAGCTAGGATTACAGGCGTGAGCCACCAGCGCCCGGCTAGTCTTTGAACTTTTCAACTTAAGCTGAATCTTCAGGTTGGACGGAGTGGGCTGGATCCAGGCTGGGCAACAACAGCTATCTCCCAGACTGTTTACACACCTTCTGCTGAGTTACCTACAAGTTCTGCAGAGACTTAAGTTAACCTAAGGCAGGAGCCTGAATTTAGTAGAATATATTTCCCAATATTCTCCTGGTTGCTTTCTCTGAGAACACCAATTTTGAATTAGGGAGTCCCACTGTTTTGTTTTTGGTTTTGGTTTTTGTCAGTTGTGGGGCTTGAATTCAAGGCCTAGGTACTGCCCCTGAGCCTCTTTGTGCTAGTCTAGCACTCTACCACTTGAGCCACAGTGCCTCTTTCAGTTTTTGAGTGGTTAATTGGAGATAAGAGCCTCACAGGGGATTGGAAATGTGACTGAGTGGTAGAGTGCTTGCCTAACATGCATGAAGCCCTGGGGATGATTCCTCAGTATCACATAAATAGAAAAAAGGCAGAAGTGGATCTGTGGCTCAAGTGGTAGAGTGCTAGCGTTGAGCAAAAAGAAGCTCTGGGACAGTGCCTAAGCCTGAAGTCAAGCCCCAGGACTGGCAAAATTTTTTTTAAAAAAGATTCTCACGAGGAGTTTTCTGCCTCGCTGGGGCTGGCCTTGACCATAATCTTCAGATCTAAGCCTACTGAGTAGCTAGGATTACAGGAGTGAGCCACTGGTACCTGGCCCACCCACTGGTTTTTAAGAGAGTTTTTAGGCTGTGGCCTGGGGCAATTTACCAGGGCAACAACTTTTGTTAACCAGATTTTCTCCAAAAAGGCTAGGATTTCCTGGGAAGTCACAGAAGGTTTGAAGTTGTACCTCCATCTCTCACAAATGCAGTCTTCACACTCAAGGGCACCTGTACTAATTACCATTGTTTTTCCATGCCTATTTCTTTCATCTATCCTCCCTCATTTTCCCAAAAATGAGTTCAGTTCCTTGATCTTAAGGGGAATTGATGGATAAAGATCCATCTTCTATAACTTCTTTAAGCTGAGTAAAGGGCACTGGGCCTGCCTATCTTCCCAAGGGCTTGCTAGTATCAGATGTCCTTAGGAGCAATAGTACTCTGGTTTACAAAAGCATTTTCCTGACTGCCTGGGGAACCTGATTTTTACTGACTCTCACAATGTCTAAGTTACCTGTGCAGTCTTTTAGATAGCTCTCAATAGGAACATGATCTCAGGTCCATACCCTATTGGGTACAAACCTCTTTTCCTGAACAGATGAATTTATATGCCTGGTGCTAGATCAAAACTCACTGCCTATTAGGGCTTTGAGCAGATGCTGGGGGCTGGGATTTTAAACTATCCCCCATATGACAGTCCTAGCTTTTTACTACCTAATACAACAGATGACTGACAGACAAGGGTATAAGTCCCTGCCCAGTTACAAAGTAGACAGACATGAGCATTAGATCGGCATGCCTATAAACTATTTTCTTATAACCTCCCAGCTCTGATTAATTTTCAAGGGCCAAACACAAGTGTCTCCAAAATCTGACACCATCTCCTTTCATGTGAGCAGTATCTTCCAACTGCCTCTGGATGCTCTGTTGTCATCAAGACAAGATTTTGTACCAGCAATCTCTCTCCCATGCTGGGATAATTCCCCCGATAGCATTTCCCCTGAACTCAGGGCCTGGGCACTGTCCTGAGCTCTCCTGCTCAAGGATAGTGCTCTACCACTTTGAGCCATAGCTCCACTTCCAGCACTCTGCTGGACAACTAGAGATAAGTCTCACAGAGACTCTTTTTCCCAGGCTGGCTTTGAACTGCAGTCCTCAGATCAAATGAGTCTTTATCAAAAGCTCCTTTACTCCAATTGAAGCAATAAGGAGATCGATAAAAATAGTTTTTAAGCATGGGTTACCTGGAACTTATAAGAATCAAAGTTATAGCTAACAAACTTGTAGAAGTCATCTGTCCCTCTGTGTGCCCACCTGTAATTGCTACAGAAGATTTGTAAAAGCAAAACTGAAACAGCAATTAAACAATCATATTCTTAATTTTTAACTGAATATACTTTAGGACACTAATTGAAACCATTGTTACCAAGTCAAACCTTTGCAATTACAACAGAGAATGCAGGAAAATGCTCTGTATCCAAGGTAGCTCACACCCTTGAGAAACAGACATTACACAGCAACAAGGCCTTAAACATAAATACTTATGTTAACTTTAGTAGTCCTAATTTTTGTTTTTCCACTTTTAAACAAACATTTAGGACAATTTTACTCCCCAAATTTCTTTTATCCAGGGACTCATTTTTAATTCCCTTCCTAAAGCCTTCACACTTTAGCTTTGATTTACATTTATCTTTAACCCTTAGAAACCTTGAAGCACTAGATAATGCCCCCTTTGCAGTCTGAATTTAAAACTGTCTGCTTTTCTTCTGCAGTCTAAGTTAACTCTCAGAAAACCTTTGAACTTAAATGGCATAGTTTTTCTTTTTTTTTTTTTTTTGGTCCAGTCGTGGGGCCTGAACTCTGGGCCTGGGCGCTGTCCCTCAGCTCTTCAGCTCAAGGCTAGCGCTCTACCACTTGAGCCACAGCGCCACTTCCGGCTTTTTTCTTATGTGGTGCTGAGGAATCAAACCCAGGACCTCAGGCATGCAAGGCAAGCACTTTACCACTGAGCCACCTTCCCAGCCCTATGGCATAGTTTTTCTACGTGTAAGAATTACATGTAGGGCTGGGAAGGTGGCTCAGTGGTATAACGCTTGCCTTGCATGCATGAAGCCCTGGGTTCAATTCCTCAGCACCACATAAGCAGAAAAAGCTGGAAGTAGCACTGTGGCTCAAGTGGTAGAGCCTGTTCCCAGCCCAGGCAGGAAAGTCCATGAGATTCTTATCTCCAATTAACCACCAGAAAACCAGAAGTGGACCTGTGGCTAAGTGGTAGAGCATTAGCCTTGAGCTGAAGAGCTCAGGGACAAAGTTCAGGCCAGGAGTTCAAGCCTGACAACTGACCAAAAAAAAGATAATTCCTGACAAAGAGAGCAGAAGAATTTCTCTTGCTTTCTCCCTCTTTCCATCTACTATTCTTCCTGTAGGTGCTTCTCATTGTCCAATCCTAATTGCAAAGGATGCTGGAAAATTTAGTTTTCACAGGTCAGTCCCAGTATAGGCCAGAGCAAGGGAAGGCCATGGGATTGATATGAGGGCAGAGGGAAATAGAGAGTAGTGTGTTGCTAACCTGAAAAACACTTGTCCAATTGAAAGAGGGACAGCTGCTACTCACCTACAGTTGATACTGTAAGGAAATCTGCTCTTCTGATTTTTTTTCCCAAGAAGCCAGCTGGGTTGGTTTTTGTTGTTGTTTGTTACTGTTGTTTCCTCCACATTGTTCAGCGTAAAAATTTTTTCAATTTAAAATGTTGGCAACTGGGGCTGGGAAGGTGGCTCAGTGGTAAAGCGCTTGCCTTCCATGCCTGAGGCCCTGGGTTCGATTCCTCAGCACCACATAAGCAAAAAGAAAAAAGCCGGAAGTGGCACTGTGGCTCAAGTGGTAGAGCGCTAACCTTGAGCTGAAGAGCTGAGGGACAGCTCCCAGGCCCAGAGTTCAGGCGCCACGACCGGACCCCCCCAAAAAAAAAATGTTGGCAACTACTGGGTACCAATGGCTCATGCCTGTAATCCTAACTACTCAGGAGGCTGAGATAAGAGGATCTTGTCCGAAAGTCAGCCAAGGCATACGAATCCAAGAGCTTCTTATCTCCAAATTAATCAGAAAAAAATGGAAGTAGAGTGTTAATCAAGTAGTGGCTGCCAATAAAGAACTCTGGCCAGCCGGGTACTAGTGGCTCAAACCTGTAATCCTAGCTACTCAGGAGGCTGAGATGTGAGGATCGAGATTCAAAACCAGCCCAGGGAAGAAAAGTCCATGTAACTCTTATCTCCAATAAACTACCAGAAAACTGGAAGTGGCGCTGTGGCTCAAGTGGTAGAGCGCTCGCCTTGAGCTGAAGAAGTGAGGGACAGCGCCCAGGCCCAGAGAAATTCTGGCCAGAGCCTGGTGCTGGTGGCTCATGCCTATAATCCTAGCTACTCAGGAGACTGAGATCTGAGGATCACGGTTTAAAGCCAGCCCAGGCAGGAAAGACTCTTATCTCCAACTTGCCACCAGAAAATCAGAAGTGATGCCATAGCTCAAAGTGGCAGAGCACTAGCCTTAAGTGAAAAAGCTCCAGGACAGCACTCAGGTCCTGAGTCCAAGCCCCATGACCAACCAAAACAAAAACAAAAAACATACTCCTCCCAGGAGATCTTTTGTAAAGGGCCAAGGTAGTAAATATCTTGAACACTGTATGTCACATGAGCTTGGAAGGACTACTCAGCTCTGCCTTTATAGTGCTAAATCAGTCATAAACAAACATAAATAGACGGATGGAGCTGGGCTTCAGTAAGCTTTATTCATAAAAATGGGTGGCAGACTCTATTTGGTCCACAGGTCATAATTTGCTGAGCCCTGATTTCCTTCCTTCCTTCTTTCCTTCCTTCCTTCTTTCTTTCCTTCCTTCCTTAGTCCATCCTTCCCTCTAACCTCTTTCCCTCTCTCCTCCCTTCCTCCCTCTACTTCCTCCATTCCTTCTTTCCTTCCTTCCTTTTAATGTTTTAGACAGTCACTTTGTAGCCCAGGCCTATAATGCATGATCCTCCTGCCTCTACCTCCCAAAGCCTGGGATTACAGATGTGTGTCTCTATGTCAGGTTTGAGCCCTGATCTTTTTTTT